CGAAGATCCCACAACCTGTTTTTTATCTTTCTGTAATATGAATGTTAAAGATTGATTTATATACCTTTGACAACAGCTGACATCATTGCAACATTTCCCAGTCAGTTTTATTATGTCAACAGCCATAATGTTAATAAAGGTTAAGTGAATCTGCAGAACAAGTTTCTAAAGTCTCTTTTCCAACTCTGTTGCTTTTGTATTTATACAATTCACTTCTGATCATCAACCAAGAGTAGGCAATCCCACAAACAATATACTATTTTCAATATGAAAAAGGAACAATATTCATTGGATTTTCAGTTCATACGTGAGTTGGACCAGGTAGTAGCCTACACTACTGTACTGAAGTGGCAGAAGTACTAACTTTGCAAAATTCTTAAGGAAGAATGAAAATTGTTCTGAGAGTTTGCTAAATGTATATTAAAAAGATTAAGGGGCAAACCATACAAACATCATTAATTTGACTTCTTTGCCAAAGATAAATACAACCAAAGAAGGTGAAATAGCCAATCGTCTAAATAGAAAATGTGTAATGCAACATGCAATTGCTTCTTCAATTATTTGATCTTACTAATGTATCTGAAACTCTATTCCATACTTTGATCATTATTCCTCTGTAGAAGAACTTCCTAACCTTCGTTGAAAATTTACTTTTTACTAGTTTGAACCCGGGACTGGTTGACACAGTTGACGAGATGGTTAGTGTGTGGGTTAAAGAGTGTCAACAGAACCAGGTTCAACCTCCATTCATTTCTGTTCTACCTGTAGCAAAAATCATAGTACTTTCTTATAGCTTGGTAAGCGGTCACCAAAGACTTGCCTTCCAGAAGAGAATAAGTTTGAACCCATCCAATTCTTTCAACTTAGCTTCAATTAATTTTCCGCATTTACATGTCCATCCTGCTGATATTATCTTAAACACTTCTATTATATTAACTCATAGGGTTAAAATATCTACTTTTCATCACATCTCAGACCCCAAGCATTAGGGAAGAGGACTTAGACTGTTTCAGCACTTGAATATCTTCCCCTTGTCTTGGTGATGGTTATACTACTCATAGTTTAATCTAATCAGATATAATGAATTGATTGTGAATTTCTTTGACTTATTTAGTTCTGCAGGTTACTTATGACAACATTGTTTGAAGCTCAGCAGTGCCTGGATGACTCGAGTCTAACAAGACCCTTAGGAATTTTCATCTTCATTTGTAACCAGTTCAGTTTTATTCACAACAGTCTTGTTCATATTTGCTTCCAGCCTCAGTAATGAACATGGAAGACAAACATATGTATTTCACAATGTCAGGTTTCTCTGTATCCCTTCACAGCTCAGGAAATATTTGTCGGTTTCTACCGTAATGTAAACAAATGCAGCAGACGGTTAGCCTCCATCAAGGCTCCGCAAACAGCAAGGAGATAAATGAAGAGATAATCTATTCCCAGGAGCGTTGGTTGTGGGATTAATATTTGCCAGAGCAGCGGAAGATTTTTTTGAAAAAAATTTTATTCACTCGTGAGAGGTTGGTGTCTCTGGCTGGGTCAGCATTTATTGCCTGTCTCTTGTCGCCCTTGAAAAGGTGGTGATGAACTGCCTTCTTGCAGTCCATGATCTCTGTAAACTTGCCTTTTTACATTTACCTGAGCGTTTAGGCATGTTTAATATAAAAACAGGAAGTGTTGGAGAAACTCAGCTGCTCTGGCAGCATCTGTGAAGAGACAAACAGAGTTAATGGTTCGAGTCCAGTGACTTTTCTTCGGAATGATTCAGAAGAAGAATCATTGGGCTCAAAAGGTTGGGCTGGACTTTAGGATTTTTTGGCCAAGTCTTGAGTTGCGTCGAGTTTTTTGAAGGATTGTCACCGTGAGGCCGAGCAAGTTCTTTTGTCGTATCTTAACAAACTTGCCTCATTAATGACCTGCCAAGACCTATAGAGTCCTTCAGGTCCGACTTCCACTCATTTATCACACGCCATTCCCAGACCAATCCCCCACTCAGCGGATATCTTGGAATTCACTGGAGCCCTTTGCACCGATGCCACCTTTAAAAGCCCAGACAAGTGCTGCCAGTCCAGAGCTGCCCTGCACAGTTGCTGACATTTGCCCCAAACGTGGGAGAGAGGGGAAATTGGTCTCCGGTTTTGCAGGTTGGTCTCTGGAGGTCCTGATGGATGGGCTGCTGCAGATGCAGGGACTTCCCCCGGGACCAGTGGGGGTGAATATGCCAGCCAGCCTGATCTGACACTGCCACCCAGGATAAACCAGTCTTAGGTGCCTGGGGAAATGCCCATCACTGCAGGATGCAAGCCAATGTCCTTCTCCACTTCGCCAGGGTACGTGCCACCATCTGCTCCATCATACTCATTCAATCTCTGCTATTGTACCCACCTCCCGCCAAGGCTCTTGCTCTACTGCTGTCACTATTCCCTGCAACATCCTTCCCTACTCACTGTCATCTTCCCCAAAGCCCGATACCACTGACCCTGCAAACCGTCTGCCCTGCTTATTCACTCTCTCAAGAAACCTCCCCAACTGCACTAACAGTGCCACCCCCCACTTTTCATTTCCCATAATACCTGCCTCTCTCTCTCATTCTGAAAGGAAATCTGTAGAGCTGAGTGAGTGTAAAGACAGGTGGTATGCTACCTGACACCTGTCTCCTCACCATGCCTGTTCCTATGCTGTACTGTCCTATGTTCTATGTACACATGTTAAAACTTGATATGTTCTGTCTTCTAAACCTTGTTCCTTGCCTGAGGCGTGGTGACCCTCTGATCTCTCTGAGATGAGAAAGGAGCCCTTTGGGACCAAGCCAACTTTATTTGTGTTTGCAACTGTAATACTCCATGTCTGAATTTAATACTTCTTCAGTAGACTCGAAAGCATTAAATTCCGGATGAAGCCCATTGATCACACTAGAAACATGCAAATTAGATTTATTGCAGATTCCATCCATTCAATCACAATTAAGAGGAAGACAATCAATAGACTGCCCAATTCAGAAATAACACTTTTGCTTATCATTTTAAACAATGAAGTTGATCTATTTTCTCTCTGTCTTTCTTTCTTCAGCTAATTCAGAGGTCAACAGTCTGAATGAATCAGCTTTGAACATAAAGAAGCGGTGGAGTCAGAGGTAGATAGGGTAGTGAAGAAGGCATCTTGTACACTTGCCTTCATGGGTCAGTGCATTGACTATAGGAGTTGGGATGTCATGTTGTGACTGTACAGGACATTGGTTGGGCCACTTTTGGAATACTGAGTTCGATTCTGGTGTCCCTGCTGTAGGAAAGATGTTGTTAAACTTGAAAGGGGGTGGAAAAGATTTACGAGAATTGGTGGGTTTGAGCTATAGGGAGAGGCTGACTAGACTGGGCCTATATTCCCTGGACTGACGGAGGCTGAGGGGTGACCTTATAGAGGTTTATAAAATCATAAGGGGCATGGATAAGATGAATAGTCAAGGTCTTTTTCCCAGGGTAGGGGAATCCAAAACTTGAGGGTGTACATTTAAGGAGAGAGGGAAAGATTTAGAAGGGACCTAAGAGGCAACTTTTCACACAGAGGGTGGTGAGTGTATAGAATGAACTGCCAGAGGAAGTGGTGGAGGCTGGTACAATTATAGCATTTAAAAGGCCTCTGGATGGGCATATGAATAGGAAGGGCCTAGAAGGATATGGGCCAAATGTTGGTAAATGGGACTAGATTAATTTAGGATATCTGGTCGGCATGGACAAGTTGGACCAAAGAGTCTGTTTGTCAATGGCTCTGTGACCTGCACTGATGCAATTTGATCTCAGTATCTCAGCTTGTACTGGGGTCTTGTGGTGTAGTGGGTAGTGTTCCTGCCTCTGAGCCTGTAGCATCCCTAGGATTTGACGATCAAGGAAGATGCATTCAGAGCATAGGCAAGCAGGTTAGGTATCAACTTTTAAATCCTTCCAGCAAAGGCTATTGATGGGCAATAAGATGGGAAAGGTTCGTGATCAGCCATTATTTTCTATTGCTTCACGCTTTGATACACATGTAAAAGTGAATGTTTCTACAACAATCCTTGGACACCCAGTCTGAAGAAGGGTCCAGACCCGAAACATCAGCTTTCCTGCTCCTCTGATGCTGCTTGGTCTGCTATGTTCATCCAGCTCTACACCTTGTTATCTCAGTTGGCTTCATAGCTGGTATAGATCAGATTGTTGTCAAGAGCACAGGGTTCAATCCCTGTTTTGCCTGAATGGATTCAGGAACTGCCTCCTGTTCTATTCGTGGGAGATACCATGTCCCTATGGGCCAGACTTGCCTTAAGGCAGAGAATTGAAGTAAAAGGTCTCAGAATAACTTTGAAATATTCCTTGATGTATTAATGCAAGGTCTTGCGATTACTGGATTTCCTTCAAGACCTCCCCTGTTTCCCTTCCAAACTGCTCTCAGGACAAGCTCTACATCATTCACATCTCTATTCCATTCTGTGCACCACCACACTTCCTCTAGTTCACCTAACCCTATCTCCTCTAATTTCCAGAGCTCCCTGCCCCCAAGTGGAAAACATCAAAAATCCTTTACCGTTTCTCTACAAATGTAGTTCTGTCCTCTGCTATCTCTGATTCTAACTTCTTGCAAACTTCCCTTTCTCCCCTCCACACGTTGCAACAAACTTCTTCCCTTACCTTTGTGCATCCCTCCCTGAACCCCCCACTGTGTCCCCAAGCTCCCTCTGCGCTTCTCAAAACCCTCTCCACTCCAATGATCGCTCACGTCTCCCAACCCTCCTGTGAAGGCTCGGTGGCTTGTTCCTTGGTGCCTAGAGTTTTTATTTCAGCATTGGCTTTATCACAAATGTAAGTTTTCACACTCAAACGCTAAGTAGAGAAAAATCTGCTGCTCCCCTATCAATAAATCTATGGAGTATTCTTTTATTAAAAACATTCTTTCTGCAGCAACTATCGCAGTTACTGTTAGTTTTAGGACTTCGATAATATTAACCGTCATTCTCTCATTTGTTCAAGATCATTATAGATGCCTGGGACAAAGGTATAAACCCTACAGGAAACTCCACAAATCCAAGCAACTGGGACTTCAGCAGTTCATTTTTCTTCGCAGGAACTGTGGTGACTACAATAGGTAACTACAAAAGTTTAAACATCTCATTATAAACTGAGATAACAAAGTGTAGAGCTGGATGAACGTGGCAGGCCAAACAGCATCAGAGGAGCAGGAAAGCTGACATTTTGGGTCTGGACCCTTCTTCAGAAATTTCTGAATTCTGAAGGAATATTTCTGAAGAAGGGTCCAGACCCGAAACGTCAGCTTTCCTGCTCCTCTGATGCTGCCTGGCTTGCCGCGTTAGCCCAGCTCCACACCTTGTTATCTCAGATTCTCCAGCATTGGCAGTTCCCACTGTCTCATTATAAACTGATTTTTTTTGTTCATTTGCATGGCTCAACATTCGGGATTTTATTCTTGTTGGGGGCAGTTTTTAGCTCCATATGTTTGCTGGAGAGTCTTGCTGACTGAAAGTATATGAGTGCCTCACATATTACTGATTTCAATTAACCACTTAAAAGGTTAGAAAATTGGGTTTTCTCGATTGAGAGCACGTGTTAGTGGAGGAAAGGCTGAAATTAGCCCTGATTTATTTTCCAATTATTTGGACATTTCACCATAATTTAGCTCCAAACAGTTTTTCTTTCCATTTTTCACACACGTTACCTTTGGGTTGAATTTTACCCAGATGGTTGCGATACTGGAACTGAAAGTGCGAGGTGTATCTGCTTGGTTTGGTACCAGCAGTGGGCAATCCCTATTAAGAATGTCTGCCTGCCCATCAGAGCTGCTGGCTCGATATTATCAGAGGTTAAAGAGCTCAGCAGTGCCACCTCTATTGGTGGGCATTGCTGGCACTACATTTTCTAGACAATGGCGTATTTCCCAGGAAGAAAGATCAGCTGAATTTGGTAGATGTCAGTGGTCAGAGTGGGGTTGATGGGATGAGTGGTCAATGAGGGTCGGGGGGAGCAGGCACCTTTGCCCTCCATGGACCAGGAGTAGCCCATTTGGGAAACTCTGTGCGGGGAGACCAGCAGGTTTCACTGGGTGGGCTCTCCAGACACTGGCAGTATACGAGCAGAGGCTGTAAGATGCCCTTAGTGGGTCAGTCAAGTGGCTCAAATGGACCTCTGATGGGCAGGCAGTGTGCCATGTTTTCTGCTGCTGACAGGATCAGATGGCAGTGGAAAGACGTCAGACAAAAACACCCCAGGCCTTGCCCCACAGCGTTTTCCCACCTTTCAGCTCATTCAGAGACTGATATCTAGGACAATTTCCTTGACCCTGTCCCCCAAAATGCAGTTCTGTTATTAGCTTTCATTTCATTTAAAAGAGAGACTCATAGCTTTTCCCCCTGGTATTACAGGCTTTGGTAACCTGTCTCCCAGTACTGTAGGAGGTCAAGTTTTCTGTGTGTTCTATGCGATATTTGGAGTGCCTTTGAATCTCTGCTTCCTCAACTACCTTGGGAGAAGTCTGAATGGCCACTTACAGAGGCTGGAGAGAAGCACTCAGAAATCAAGTAACTGCAAGGTAAGCTTCATACTCGGGTAACTGATTAGGAACATCTCAGAGAGAGAGAGGGTGGACTATGCCCATGTCAGTCATATTGATACTGCACTTAAAGAAAGGTATCCATCTCAAAGTTGAAACTCAGACACCAGAAATCAACAAAATGAATATCCATGAGTAAGATTTCCTTTTTGCTCACAGGGTGTGAGCATCACTGACTGGGTCAGCATTTATTGCACATCCCTAGTGGCCCTTGAGAAGGTAGCAGTGAGCTGCTTTCTTGAACCACTGCAGCCCTGGTGCTGCAGGTAGACCCACAATACCATTAGGGTGAGTCTTGCAGGACTTTGACCCAGTGACACTGAAGAAGGGTCAGCGATATATTTCCAAGTCAGGATGGTGAGTGACTTGGTGGAAAACTTGAAGGTGGTGATGCTCCCATAAATCTGCTGCCCTTGTCCTTCAAGATGGAAATGATTGTGGGTTAGGAAAGTGCAGTCGAAGGATCTTTGGTGAATTTCTACAGTACATTTTGTAGATCGTATGCCCTTCTGCTGCAGATCATCAGTAATGGAAAGAGCAGATATTTGTGAATGTGGCGCCATTCAAGATGCTGCTTTGTCTTGGATGGTGTCAAGCTTCTTGACTGTTGTTGGAGCTGCACTTATCCAGGCAAGTGGGGAGTATTCCATCACACTCCTGACTTGTGCTTTGTAGATGGCGGACAGGTTTTGGAGAGTCTGAAGGTGGACTGCTTACTGCTGAATTGCCAGACTCTGACCTGCCAAAGCATTTATTGTTGGAGGTGGTCATTGCCTGGCAGTTGTGTGACATGCATGTTACTATTGCTTGACAGCCCAAGCCTTGATATTGTCCAGGTCTTGATGCATTTGGACATGAACTGCTTCAGAACATTCCAACAAAAAATGAAATGCAGTGGGTTTATTTGAGAATTCGATGAACTTGAACAAATCTCATTCAGGGAACTGTCACATTCTGGGGACTTGAGTTTGAATCCCGCCAAAGCAGATGGTGGAATTTGAATCCATTAAAAATCTCGAATTAAGAGTCTAATGATAACCACAAGTCAGTTGTCGATTATCAGAAAAAACCCATCTGGTTTGCTTATATCCACTTGGGCAGCAAAATGTCCTTACCTGGTCTGGCCTACATGTGACTCCAGACCCACAGCAATGTGATTCACTCTTAACTACCCTCTAGGCAATTAGGGATGGGCAATAAATGCTGGCCTAGATAGCGACACCCTCATCCCATGAATGAATAAAAGGATAGCAAATTATTTTAGCTTCTTTGGAAAATAAAGTCCTGTAGTTGAAGCTTTTCACTCAAAGGGCAGAACGACAAATGCCAAAAGTCAAAGGAAGCAAAAATTTACGCTGCATTGATTGCTTTCCTTGTGAAGTACATAATATGAACAGTGCACACATTGTGATGGCTTAATAAGTAATAATTTGCCTTCCTTAGTGTGCCATTACCTTTGTCCCAGTGAACAATATGGTGAAAATAACAAGAACAACTGCTTAGTAATTCTCAAACATCTCTTTTTAGCATTTAATAAGTCTGGTCATTCTGGTTTTGAATCTCAGCTGGTTTCTTGAAATGTCCCAGTAGTTGAACAGATGAAGGTGCTAAGCATAGTAGTCTCAGTTTTCATAAATGATGTGGTCTCAGTAGTTAATGTGCCACCAATAGCCTCAATGCCCTTTGGTCAAAGGGGAGGAAAAATGTGCCAGGATTCCTTCTCCTGACTGTTATGTATTCTGAAAAGTGCTACCATCGATGGCCAAATAGGCTGACTGTCTGGGCTCACACATGCAGGTTTATCACTTGAGTGAATGACCAGAGAGAAGGTGTCATCATCCATACCTTAGATTTAACACCCCGAGGTGTAGATCATTTTAATTTCTGGAAATACGATAAATCTTGAACTCCAAATGACTACTGAAGTTAGGTCAGTTGAAATTTCAAAACTAAATTCGATAAGTTTCTTTTCAAAATTAGATTAGATTCATGATGCTAGAAGGGCTGAATGGATGGACAACGTGTTCCTAGGGAATTAATACTTTAACAGTGAGCAGACAATTATCACATGTTACTTTCTGTGCTCCTGCAGCAAGTGATGAAGATTTTCACAATGGCTTTCTTCTTGATTTTTGGCACGGTGCTGTTTCTGGTCTTCCCACCATTGGTCTTCAGTCATGTAGAAGGCTGGACATATGGAGAAAGCTTTTACTTTGCCTTCATTGCTCTGAGCACCATTGGATTCGGAGATTACGTTGTAGGTATGACTTGAACATTGCAGTAGTCCAACGTTGCATTAGGGCTCCCTGTGCACACATGGAGAGGGATTAAAATACTTGAAAGTAAAAACCACAAATATTAGGACTGATTTCACCAACACTGACCAAACAGAGCAGTGGTAGCCCTTTGTTACCAGCAGAAAGTGACCATGTAATCCATAGCACTGTGTGTCTTACAGGCACATCATGAGAATACAAGGAACAGCAGACATGAGAAACTAACAACTGCACCCCCAATCCCTGCAGGATCTCTACTGTTTACTGGTTACCCTCCACCAAAATCAACTCACTGCATCAAGTCTTTTGATATATTTTGACAGTGTAACAATGACTATATAAATCTCCAGACAGAAAGACTTGAGTTTATATAGCATTTATCATAGCCATTGGATAAATCAAAGTGCATTACAGCCAATTAAATGCATATGAAGTGCAGCCATTGTTGTAATGTAAGAACCACTGTGGCCAATTTGCCTGTAGCAAGCTTCCTCAAACAGCAATGTGTAATGTCCAGATAGTTTATTTGTGTGGTACTGATTGAGGGGTAAATGCTGGAAAGGACACCAGAGATAGCTCCAATGCTGTTATTTAAACTGGTGCCATGGTATCTTTTACTTTCACCTTAAGAGGGTAGACAGGACCCTCAATCTAGTTTCTCATCTGAAAGACTGCGCCTGTGAAAATGCAACATTCCTTCAGTACTGCACTGGGGTTTCAACCTTCATTTTACGCAGGTAATTAAGAAGGCAAATGGAATATTGTTCTTCATTGCTAGCGGGACGGAGTTTAAAAATAGGGAGATTATACTGCAGCTATGTAGGGTGCTGGTGAGGCCACACCTGGAGTACTGTGTATAGTTTTGGTCTCCTTACTTGAGAAAGGATGTATCGGCATTGGAAGGGGGTGCAGAGGAGGTTCACTAGGTTATTCCACATTGAGAGAATTGGAGAGATTGAATAGACTGGGACTATACTCATTGGAATTTAGAAGAATGAGAGGGGATCTTATAGAAACTTATAAAATTATGTAAGTTATGAAGGGAATAGATAAGATAGAAGCAGGGAGGTTGTTTCCACTGCGGGGGGCGAAACTAGATCTCAGAGGCATAGACTCAAAATAAGGGGGAGCAGATTTAGGTCTGAGTTGAGGAGGAACTTCTTCACCCAAAGGGTTGTGAATGTGTGGAATTCCCTGCCCAGTGAAGCAGTAAAAGGTACTTTGTCAGAGCATTGAGTATAGGTGTTGAGATGTCATGTTGTGGCTGTACAATATATTAGTGAGGCCACTTTTAAGATGCTGCATACAATTCTGGTTGCCCTGCTATAGGAAGGATGTTGTTAAATGAAGAAGGGTGCAGGAAGAATTTACAAGGATGTCCCTGGAACTAGAGGGTTTGAGTTCTCTGTTGAATCATTTTAAAGTGAAGATAGATAGATTTTTGAACAGTAAAGGAATTAAGTGTTATGGTGAATGGGCGAGTGAGTGGAGCTGAGTCCAGGAGCAAGATGAGCCATGATCTTATTGAAAGGCGGAGTAGGCTCGGTGGGCCAGACAACCTGCTCCTGCTCCTGTTTCTTATGTTTTTATGCCCATATTCTGGATTGGACTTGAACCTGGAATCATCAGCTGGATTCAGAGATCTTTGAATCATAGAGTCACAGAATCATACAGCACTGAAACAGACCCTTCAGTCTAACACATCCATGCCAACCAGTTCTGCTAAACTGAACTAGTCTCATGTGCCTGCATTTTGCCCATATCCCTCTAAACATTTCCTATCCATGTCCCTGTCCAAATGTCTTTTAAATGTTGCAGTTGTACCTGCCACTAACACTTCCACTGGCAGCTCATTTCATAACGCACCACCCTCTGTGTGAAAACGTTTTCCTTCAGGTCCTTTTTAAATCTTTCCCCTCTCACCTTAAACCCTCTAATTTTGGACTCTCCTGCCCTTGGAAAAAGATGTTGGCTATTCACCCTATGCCCCTCATGATTTTATAAACCTCTTTAAGAGCGTCCCTCAACCTCTGACGCTCCAGAGGTCAAAGTCCCAACCTATCCAGCCTTTCCTTAGGACTCAAACCCTCTAGTTCCTGGGACATCCTTGTAAATTCTTCCCGCACCCTTCCTCATTGAACAACATCCTTCCTATAGCAGGGCAACCAGAATTGTACGCAGCATCCTAAAAGTGGCCTCACCAATATATTGTACAGCCACAACATGACATCCCAACACCTATACTCAATGCTCTGACAAATGAAGGTAAGCATGCCAAATGCCTTTTTCACCATCCAGTCTGCCTGGGACAGCACTTTCAAGGAACTATTACCTGAACCCCTACATTGGCTGAGGAGCCCAGCCAGAGGAGGAATGGCTACCCAGCAGGGACTAGCTATTAATGGACTGGAGGCAGGACTTCTACCTCTCTACATTTGCAGACACAACATTCAAGGCTATGAGCCTAGTGTGAGACTAGTATACTTTTGGCAGTACAGACTCAATGGGCCGAAGGGTCTTTTCTCTACTGTATAATTCTATGATTTGGAACCAGGGAGTTCTGCTTCACACAGCTACTGGCTGGGCATTTTGGCCACTGCTGCCTTGCAGTGGGACCTTTATCAGGGATAGCCAATGGACCCCTGGAAAGAGGTAAGCTTTGACCACAGTGGGTAGCATGGATGGGGGTAGGCTGGAGGTGTAGGGTCTGCAGCCAAAAGACTGGAGATGGAGAGAACTTTAGGGGGAATCACACATTGCTGGGAGAGTGAAATGTTCCTCAAGTGAGTCCCAGAGGAAGGACTTGCCCCTTGCCCCTGCCTGGCTCCCACCAGCATGCACAGGCTGCCTGCTGTGAGTGAGCCTTTCCTGGTTAAATCCCAGCAGTAATGAGATGAGACCCTGAAGTGAGAATTAACTACTAGCAGTGGGAGGTGGAGGGAGTGTTGAATAGAAGTAGACTGATTAAGACACATAATTGCCACCTCCAACTGGTGGCAATAGGCAGTGGGGGCAAGGGCAGGCAGGTGGTGGGCAGGCTGTCTATTAGATGTAACATGAGCCCCCTCCATCCCGTCATCTTCAAATCCGCTTGGATGGCTGCATTAAATCCAGTCCTCTGTGCCTGAGTGGCAAGAGCGCTATCAATTACCAGACATTTCCTTCCTCCATTAGCTCTCTAGTCATTGAATTTAATTGTATATTTTCAATGCCGATACTCTGCTCAGTAAATTAATTCACAAAAGACACGCCAAATTTATTTTCACTATTTCTACTTGTGACCCCAGTTTTTTTTTATTTTCTTTGAAGCAAAAGTCTAAGTTTACCTTATACTGTACTGGTACAGTTTCTAAGCAATGGCAAAGTTCTTATCATGTATCAATAATGCAAAAACTAACCCAACAAACAGGTTTTTCCAACAGTTATAGGTGAAATTTTAAGAAGTTGTACATTACTGCAGTATTGTAGTTGAAAGGGGTTTACAATATAGCAAATGGAAGTTGTATTTTTCAGAAAGAACTTGCATTTATGTAGTACTTTCATAACCTCAGGCTACCCCAAGACACTTCATTGACAATTAATTACCTTTCAAGTGTGACCACTGTTGCTATATAAACAATATAGCAGTCGCCCTATGCACAGCTAGCCCCCGTATTTGGCATTGAGTTGAATAACTAAGTCACCTGACAGTGTTTTTGGAGGTAGCCACTTCACTAGGAAAAGTCACTGCTTCTCAGGCATCTGGTAGTCCTGTTGGCCATGTTAAATATTATTTTTAATATCAGCCTTACCTGTACCTTTCATTAATTTAAAGATCTGATCCATGTTGGATATAATTTGTCTCTTGCCTCTTCAAGGATAAACTATTATTAATGACTTCACAGCGTGCATGATTACAAGCTGAAATTGCTGGAAGTACATTAGCAGGCCTGTCAATATCTGTAAAGAGAATAAATATATTATTAAATCACAAATTGAACCATCATCAGAATAATATGAACAAAGGCCTACAGCTTTGCCCTTTAGAAATACCCTGTTTTTTCAGAGGATCAGTTTTTTTTTGTTTCATCATTTTTCTTTTCTTCGTTTCCATTTGGTCTGCATTAATAATCACAACTTTATTCTAGGCACAGATCCAGACAAGCACTACATCTCCATCTACAGAAGCCTGGCTGGTCTCTGGATAGTCATTGGCTTGGCTTGGTTGACACTGCTCTTCAATGTGGGAAGCAGAATACTGGAACGGATCTTTCAACTGAAGTTTCACAGGAAAAAGTCAAACCTCGAGGTTGTGCATAGCTCCAAACAGGAGGATTGTTGTTCCTAGTTTAATTTTGATGATCTTCGATTTGACTACCTCAATTCACTCATCCCCTCCCATTCTATTTAGGCTTCTTTCCTCTTCAGTACTTATGTTCACCTTTCCTTTTTATATTCATGGCAAGATGCTTTCCTCGTGATTTAATGGCTCATTTGGGTGAGGGATGTTCATGTTGTGAAGTGGACACTTACCCTAAGTATCGGCTGTGTAATTCTAACTCAGGTGGAGCATGGATTAGATGCAAACTGAAGGATCTTATTTATCGCCTGAGCAATTTGCCTCGTTTCCAATCTTGAAGGAACTTTCTCTAATGCGCCAGTGTAATACTTATTGCAACTCCTGTGGCACATTTAAGCCAGTGATCTCACTGGTAACAAGGTCAGTTCAGTAGGAAATTCAGGTGGCTTTAGCTTACAGGCTCAAAGAACCTTTTCGAACCTGTAACCTTACAGTGAATTTTTTATGATGTTTCTTTTGCTTTTACACTTTCCCATTGCATTGAGGGAATGGATGCCAGAATTATCTAATAGGAGGTGCCCTTGAGCTAAGAGCCAATTGGGAAGTGTGCATTTAGATTCTTAATATCCCTACAGTGTGGAAACAGGCCCTTCAGCCCAACAAGTCCACACCGACCCTTGGAGCATCCCACCCAGACCCATCCTCCTATAACCCACCTGATCTACACACCCCTGAACACTGTGGGCAATTTAGCATGGCCAATCCACCTAACCTGCACATCTTTGGACTGCGGGAGGAAACCGGAGCACCCGGAGGAAACCCACGCAGACACGGGGAGAATGTGCAAACTCCACACAGACAGTCGCCCGAGGGTGGAATCAAACCCAGGCCCCTGGCGCTGTGAGGCAATAGTGCTAACCACTTTCACAATTGACAATTACACAATTGATTCTAAAGGATGACATTAGCAATTAACAGTTCCCGATTGCATGTCTGCCAATTGCGTCCATGTTGGGAAGGACTATTTTTAGTGTGTGAAATTCCTTTTATTTTTGTCCTTGTTTTTCTATCATCTATACAGATCACATAATAAAGAGGATTGGTGTTGGCTAATTTGCTTCCAGGTCTAACTGAATACAGTCCGAGTTAGCTGCTGAATGATGCGTGAATGTGATTTGAACTCCCCGTTATCCCTTTGCTTCATCCTATGGAGAGATGACCTCTCCGGCTTGGTACTCTCCTATAACAGTATGTTGATCTTGAGAAGGTCAATGAGGCAAAGGAGTTGGTGCAGAGGTGGTAGGAAATGCAAGGTGTGAGTTTTCATCCAACAATTTATTTGATCTGATTAAGTAATACTTACGTTAATTCCTGTAATTTAAGAATCTGGGTATATCTATTCTGGTATTGAATAATCCAACAGACATTTCTTACAACTAACTATTACATGTGAATATTAATATTGGGCTAATAATAGGCCCTTAGTTTACAACAGAAGAGCCTGCTTCCAATAGAGCATCATGCTGAGGTAAGATGGAGAATGCAATCTTTATATTCTCAGGTCAAATGTGATGATACAATGATGATATCATGAAGGTGGGCATATTGACTGTGAGACATAGCACAGCAAAGAATTTTAATATTTTGCTGCAAAAGGATGTTAAAATCATGCTAACGGTTTAAAATGTTTTCTAAATTAGTTCAGTTGTTTGGTAAATATTCAGAATGTTATTACTTAGGGACAATCACATCATAAAAGCATCCTTGCTTGTGTAATGTTACGCTTGGAGTGCATTTTGACTGTCACATTCCAGGCATCACAGCTGGCTGTCGCATTTTCCCATCTTCACCTGATAGCTTTGCGGGTATAAAATCTAAACTAATGACAAATCACAGCTGAATAGATAAGAAGTGAAGAAACTGTAACTTGTCCGCACATATCCACAGAAGTGTGTACCTGTTAATAATTAGATAGTTGATGTAACTCCTAACTTTACATGCCACACTTTCCCCACATTCACCCAGTCTTGAAATTTGAAGAGAGGAGCAAATTTATGCAACTGGGTTAAAGAAATGTGGGCCAACAAAACATGTACGCCACTTATCAGTACAGTACTCATGGTGTCATCTCATGGATCCAATGAGCAATGCCAGGGGTGAAACCGTAATACAACTTTTTTTTGCTAGTTTGCGAAAAATGTGTATAATATTTAGCTTCGTGAGATTTGGGCCAAGGTTATCTACAACTACAGAGTTGTTAGAAGACAGAAGGAGGACATTTGCCCTATAAATGTCTGCGTCAGCTCTCTACTGGAGCAATACACCTAGTACCACTTCCCTGACTTCTCCCTGTAATCCAGCAGCTTCATCCTTTCCAGATAATAATCCAAATCCCTTTCGAATGCCTTGATGGAACTGACCTCTACCACACTTTCAGCCCATTGATTCAGATCCCAACTATTCACTGTGCAGAAATATTTCTGCTCATGCTTCCACTGTTCCTTTAGTCCATATCTTATGTTTTGTTGTTCTTGATCCCTTCACCAATGGGAGCAGATTCTGCCTATTTACTCGGTCCAGACCACGTGATTTTGAATCCCTCTATCAAATCTCCTCTTAATTTTACTCTCTCTGTGGGTAACAGTGCTAATTTCTTCAACCTATCTCCATTACTAAAATTCACCATTCCTTCAACCATGCTGGTGCATCATTTTTGCATTCTGCCTAATAGAGTCATAGAGATATACAACGTGGAAACAGACCCTTCAATCCAACTCGTCCATGCCAACCAGATACGCTAAACTAATCTAGTCCCATTTGCAGGCACTTGGCCCATATCCCTCTAAACCCTTCCTATTCATGCACCCATCCAGATGCCTTTTAAATGTTGTAATTGTACCAGCTTCTACCACCTCCTCTGGCAGCTCGTTCCGTATACGCACCACCCTCTGCGTGAAAAAGTTGCACCTTAGGCCCCTTTTAGATTTTTTCCCTCTCTCCTTGAATCTATGTTCTCTAGTTTTGGACTCTGCTGCCTTGGGGAGAAGGACTTTGGCTATTCACCCTATCTATGACCCTCATGATTTGATAAACTTCTATAATGTCATACTTCAGCCTCCTCACTCTAGGGGGAATAGCCCCAGTCTACTCAACCTCCCGAATCCTCACCACTCCCTACCTGCATTCACCTATCACCATCCAACCCACCTTCCCCAACCTCACCCCCCTCTCTCTCTTTATTTCTGAGCTCCCTTTCCCCTCCCCCATTTCTGAAGAAGGGTCCTGACCTGGAACGTCAACTTTCATGCTCCTCTAATGCTGCCTGATCTGCTGTGTTCCTCAAGCTCCACACTGTGTCATCGCAATATTCCAAATGTGGCCTAACCAGTATCCTGTACAGCCATAACATGACCTCCCAACTCATGCACTGACCAATAAAGGCAAGCATACCAAGTGCCTTCTTCACTATCCTGTCTACCTGCAACTCCACTTTCAAGGAACTATGAACCTGCACTCCAAGGTCTGCCTTTGCACCTTTCACGTGATCATGACAACAGCAACTATCCAAATGTGAACTGGATTTAATATGTTATTAAAGTAGTGCTGTAATGTCTAAAGATCAATGTCTAGAGCCCTCTTGCTGAGAGCACCAAAAGGTCTTTGACATTGTTAGTTGGGTACAAAGCTGAATTAACGAGAGATCTTTGTAAGGAAGTTGCTCTCCAGGTAAGTTTGCTTGAGACTTTTAAACATGTGTCCACCTAAATTCTCAAAACATCCACAGTCTTCCTTTTGCTTTGGCTCTTCCTTTTGTCACAACTGTGCCTGTTCCTTGTGGGCTTCCCTCTAGCTTTAGCCCTCAGAGTAAATCAGGAAGAGCAACAGAGTGAGAGTTTCTGTAGATCATAGAATAGACAAGGAGGAACTGGTGGATGTGGTATATTTGGATTTGCAGAAGATTTTAATAAGTTCCCGCACAGGAGGAGAAGCAAAATGGTTTGAATAGTGGAGCAGGCTTGAGCGGTCCAATGGGCTAACCCTGCTCCTATTTCCTACATCCTACCTAATTAGCATCACTTTGGTGATTTTTCACTGTAGCCCTGCCAATTCACTTTATGAAGTTCATAAAAAATACTTCTGCCACTTTAAGGGGGTCATTCCCTGCTCCTGCAGTCTCGCCATGTAACTTAAAGTCATCACTTCTTTTCATGGTCAAAGTGCTATGCCGAGTCGGGTAAGTGAGCAAAGTCTGCAGAACTTTTTAGTTCTCGCACTAGTGGATGATTGTATTGCTGGCGTTTTAGTGAAGCCAGGCTTTAATGTTGTCAGGTTCCACCCGTGATTCGTGGATGCCTGTACTGAGCAAGGTGTTGCAAGTATAAGATTCATGGACAGTTGGGTAGGAAGCAGCTATTCCCCTTAGCTATGGGGTCAGTAACCAGGGGGTACACTTTTAAGACGGTGGTGTAGAAGGGATTTGAGGAAAAATCTTTTCACCCAGTGTGGGAGTCTGGAATGCACTGCCTAGGAGGATAGTTGAAGTAGGAAGCCTCATAAACTTTAAAAAAAATACTTGGATGAGCACTTGAAATGTCATACCATTCAAGGCTATGGGCCAAGTGCTGGAAAGTGGGGTTAATGTATATTTAGAGTAGTGTTTTGTCAATGTAGATTTAATGGGCTGAAGGACCTCTTCTGTACTGTATGATTCAATGATTCTAAGTAGTGCAAGCTCCATTGATGCTATAGTCCTGATGAGAATTGTTTGCCCTGATCATATTTAACTAGGGAAGTTTGAGGCAGTTTCCCATTGCCTTCTTTATGTTTCTATGGATGGAGCAGAAATCCTCTTCCCAGAGGCTCCTCCATCTGCTCAGAGTCAGCCAGTATCCTCTAAGGTAATAGCTCCTCTGCCATCATCCACTGGACCTACCATTGGCCACCAGTTGCAACCCTAAGCACAAGATCCTTTGGATACAACCAACTGGACATACTGGTCATGGGGCTCAGGAAAAGACAGGGTCATCTATACCCTTAGGATCATTCAGAGAACTTGGCTAACTGTGGATAAGTTGTATAATTATAATAGACCTCCTCTACATCCTCTCAAAGGATGTAACATCTTTCTTAAAAGAAATGGGCACAGTATTCCAGTTGAGATGATTTCTATTGCCTTATGACTATCATTCTAAGTTCTCAAGATCTCTGAATTCCACACTTTGCAGGAACTAACAGAATTGCAAAAGTATAAAAGCCCTGCAAGTCTTTTCTATTATGAACATTGTCTCTGGTAACATTGACAGGTGGATATACAGAGGAATTACTGTACTAAAGAATCTTATGTAAATACCTGTGTTACATTGAGGCCAAGTCAAACACAGCAGTCAAATTAAACTCAATAATCACAGCACAACAACAAATAATCACGTTGCTGTGAAAGCATTAGCTTAAGGAACTAACATAGCTCTACTGAATTGCTACCAATCCCTGAGTCACTGTAATTCATTTTAAAATTCATCAAAAATTATTTTATTGTTATGTTTCCAGCTGAAGGCACTATTGTACAAGTCAGATTCCAGAATGAAAACTGACATCATAGACTATTTGTTTATTCTTGCAGTCAGTTATCATGGTGATTAGTCATTTAAACATATTCTTTTTTGAAATTCTAGGCCAGCATTTATTGCCCATCCCTAATTGCCCAGATGGCAGTGAAGAGTCAACCATATTGTCTATGGACCTGGAGTCATAGCTAGGTTGGTTAGGATGGCAGATTTCTTTCCATAGACATCAGGTGGGTTTTTCCTGACAATCAACAATGGATCAACAATCATTAGACTCTCGAGTCCAGATTTGTATTGAATTCAATTTCCATCATCTGCCATTGTAGGATTTGAAACCAGGTCCCCAGACCATTACCTGGGTCTCTGGATTAACAGTTCAACAATAATACCACTAGGCTGATGCCTCTAAACATATTCCCACAAGGCCACGGATGTCCTCTGTCCATAGAACATAAGAGAAAGAAATAAGGGAAAAAAATACGCCAACGTTTCAGCTTGTTTCCCTAAGCCACCCATTATAGAGACTCAAGTCCAGAGAAATTTTACTCCTATCTTTAGGTTTCTACATAACTGACTGCTTCCAGTCACTTCATTTTGAACTGAACATGCTATATTTTTTCTTATTTGTTGGTGGGATGTAAACATTACTGGCTATGCCCATCCAAAATATCGCATCCCTAATTGTCCAGAGGGCAGTTAAAAGTCAACCATATTGCAGTGCGTCTGGTGTCATACGTAGGCTGGACCAGGTAAGGATGGCAGATTTCTTTCTGTAAAGAATAATGGTGAACCCAGTGGGTTTTAATTAAAAGACTATTGCACAAACCCTCTTTGGACATGATTTCATGCACCTTCCACAATTCTGATGACCTAAACATTTTGAAATCTAACAACCTGAAGATTTCCGTCTCAAACTACATTCAGGTTCACTTAAATAGTAGGAACTGCCGATGCTGGACAATCTGAGACAACAAGGTGTATAGCTGGATGAACCCTTCAGTGTTCACTTAAATAGGTTCTGAAGAAGATTCATACTGGACTTGAAAGCTTAACTCTGTTTCTCTTTTCACAGATGTTGCCTGACCTACTGAGTTCGTCCAGCATGCTTTGTGCTTGTTTAAGGTTCATTGTGTTGGCGCCAGAGTAGAGGGACCATCTTATGAGGAGAGAATCAGCAGGTAGGGCCTTACTCATTGGAGTTTAGAATGAGAAACAATTTTATTGAAAAATACAAGATTCTTAGGGAAATTATGGGAAAAAAGCAGGGAAGTGCAGTTGAAGATTATCAGATCAGCCATGATCTCATTGAATGATAAATCAAACTCAATAGGCTGAGTGTTCAACCTTTGCACCAATGTTTTATGGTCTTGTTCCCGGGAATGGAGGATTTTCTTATGAGGAGAGGTTGCAAAGTTTGAGCTTGTACTCATTGGAGTTTAGAAGAAAGATAGGAGATGTTAATGAAAAACATCAGATTCCTAGGGATTTGAAAGTGTAGATGTTGAAAGGTGTTCTGGCCCTTGTGGGAAAGCCAGGACGCGAGGGCATAATCTCAGAGTAAGAGGTCGCTCATTTAAGACACAGATAAGGAAGAATTTCTTCTCTCAGAGTGTAGTGAATGTATGCAATTCGTTGTCACAGAGGGCCGTAGCGGCTGGGTTATTCAGTTTATTCAAGGCTGAGATAGACAGATTTTTAATAGTAAGGTTATGGGGAAAAGGCAGGAAAATGGAGTTGAGGATTCTTAGATCAGCCGTGATCTCATTGAATGGCAAAGCAGACTCGATGGGCCAAATGTCATAATTTTGCCCTAATTGCCGTATGGCTTAGAAACCAGGCAAAACAAAAAACACTTCTGTACAGTGACTGATTACCTCTGAAGTGAACTGTCAAACGCCTGTTAGGAGAAAAACTAAAACTTGTTTCTGAACTCGACTTCTATGATGCTGCTTGGCCTGCTGTGTTCATCCAGCTCTGCAGCCTTCCTGCTCCTATAATGCTGCTTGGCCTGCTGTGTTCATCCAGCTCTGCACCTTGTTGTCTCGGATTCGCCAGCATCTGCAGTTCCTACTATCTCTGAACTCGACTGTTTATTTTTCTCGACTGAACTCTGAGTTCTCTGCTCTGAAGTCAAAACAGAACTTAATGTACTTACGCTACCTGTCGTGAAACCAAAAGTGTGAACATCTTATTCCCTTAACACCCCGGGGTTCTCTCAACTCTCTGTTTGCAGTCACGTGTTGCCATGGAGCTGGCACATTTAATTCACTGTTCCAGAATAACTTTCTGACATATCGTTTAAGAGAAATCTCAACAGCGCTAGTCCAGAGTCGTATGACTCTGTTTTTAAAACAGTCCAAGTTCCAAAATATGATGCATCCCTTATCATATTACCCCAGCTGAATGAGAAGATGAATTATCAGAGGGTCAACTTACACCTGCAGTACCTATTATCCCTGCAGATGGTGCTGTGATTGGAATCAACTCACATAAATGCAATGTAAGTATGCAAACCTGGCAATGAAACTTCAAAGTCAGTGTTTCAAGGGCTATTGTGGTGTAGTGGTAGTGTCCTCACCTCTGGACTGTATTCCCAACTGCTCCAGAGGTGTGCAACAACACCCCTGAACAGGTTGACTGGAAATATATCGAAGTCAGTGTAAGTGGAAACATGCAGCTCCATTTAGATCCACTTGATGGCATTGTATAAAAACATTTATTTTTTCAAGACACAAAACTATAGCAGTATAGAGTCCCCATGTAGAAATCGTAAACCTTCACAAACCATAAATGGCAGGTGTATGGAATTGCTTCCATAAATGGCAATTAATGCTAGCATCACATTGCTGGGAAAACATTCACCTCAGGAACTAACACAAATTTCTCCTCAACTGAATTGCAGCCAATCTCCATCAAATGCCCTGAGTCACTGTATTTCAATGTAAAATCCCTGCATCAATTGCCAGTTTTGAATCTGAGGGTGACAGTCTTGTTATGAGGGCTAGCAGGCAAAGCAAGGCGTTTATGTGGTCAGCTGTGATCTCACTGAATGGGGTGGAACCGATTCAAGGAGCGAAATGGCCTCCTTCCGTTTCTGTGCCTGATCCGCTATCTGCATCTGTCTCAGGAACTCACCGTGAACTGTGCCTATCTGGAGATAGAGTCCACGTGAGCAGTGCTTCCTGTGGAATTGTCCTTGACTGTGATTGAGCCTGCTGAGATGACATGGCTATTCCTGTGTCAATATTTTGCCCGATGACAATTTGACAATATAAGCTTGCACTCATCTTAGTGGTTTTAATGCAGCAGAAATCCCAAGGTGATCGACAACACAAAAATAAATGAAAACCCATTGCCCAGGAAGGGCTTAATCACAACTTGACAAGATTGAATATTTGGACCATAAAGTTGCTTTTGATAAATACAGAACTAAGGCAGAAAAATTGACTTGCAGGTCATATTGAATGATCTAACCCTAAAACTAACCCTATTCCTTACCTAATCAGGTTAACTAGGGATTGACACATTTTTAGAATAAATCATTTATCTTGAGGGCAAATGAGTCATGTTACTTGCCCAGAAAACCCTGTGTATTTTTGACCGTTGGGCTTTAACTCTAACCACGTGGTGCTGCAAGGTGGAGACAGCATTGCATTTGATTCGCTGAAGAGGCTCTAAATGTACCTTCACCTGCAGGGACTCTGTGCACAAACCTTGCAAAAGGCTCAAGAAGGCCCTCGGTCTCAGGAGCCTGACAAGTGACGCAGCAGAAATGAGCAAAGTTGCAAAGGGCAAAAAATAAGCTGTGTCTTCACCCGTGACCCACCCCCACCCCTATTGCCAAGCCCCTGCAAGCATCTCTTGACCATTCGCCTCTTTTCCACATAAACACTCCTTGCTCCACTCTTCAGACACCAGCAGCCTTGTACTGTATGAGCCAAGATGGGGTGGGGGGAGTACACTCAGGAAATGATACTAACCGATTAAAACTGTAGCCAGCTCCATGTCAATATGAACACACCCGTGTCCAGTTTGAAGTGACCATGTGCTGTTTACCATGTTGGTTAATGATTTTATCAGGAAATCCCATTCTTGCATCATGAGTATGACCTGGTGACTTTTGTTATTTGCCTTTTCAGGTAGTTCAATGCTGAGTATTTATATTGGGACTGAGATCCTGTCCAATCAGGGGCTAGCTGGGTGACAGGCGGAGCAGATAAGCTGCCCACAAGCCAAATATTTTACCTTAGTGAGAGAGTTCTGAAGTGATGCCATAAACACGGAGCGTCAAAACATAACATGCCAGATGATTATTGAACGACGTGCTAATCAAAAGCCAGCATAGAACACTCTGGGTCACACTCACTCTGCTACATCCATCCACAGAATGTGTTTGAACAGGTTCCTTTATATTTACTTAACCTTGGCAAATTGGAACCACATGCCTTCGGGTATATTTCCGTTCAGTTGGAAACATAAAGAAAAGAATGACGGTAGTTTTGGTCAAAAGTGTTTGTTTCAGAGTTTAAGAGAGGTTTCTACAGCGTCTTTCACCAGCTCCAAATGTCCCAGACAGCTTCACGGCCAATCACAAGCTCTTGAAATGTTGTAGTGCTCAGGAGTTCTGTTCACAATGGATATTTAATGGGCAAGCATGTGAGAATATGAGAGATATCAGTGGTCCAAGAAAGAGTATGCAGTAAAGCATGTAAATGACACATACTAGTCTGAGATAACAAGGTGTAGAGCTGGATGAACATAGCAGGCCAAGCAGCATCAGAGGAGCAGGAAAGCTGACGTTTCGGGTCTGGACCCTTCTTCAGAAGGGTCTTTTCTGAAGAAGTCTTCTTTTCTTCATTTCTGTCTTCTTTTCTGAATAAGGGTCCAGACCCGAAACGTCAGCTTTCCTGCTCCTCTGATGCTGCTTGGCTTGCTGGGTTCATCCAGCTTTACACCTTGTTATCTCACATACTAGTCTGACTTGTCTCATACTTTGCAAAATGGTGCTCCATTTGGTAGCGCATTCATTTTCAAGCATTTCTGTCTCTCTCAATCATTTATCGCTCTGGGACACGAAGGGTGCATGTTAGAAATGTATGAAGACGTGTGAGAAAAGAAAGGGAGGATGAGGGCCAGGGTTTCCAACATGGACAATACAGAATTGGGTCAATTCACCAGCAAACTGAATCACAACTCCTAATCTCTCTACCTCACTATCTGCGGCGTCCATGCCCAGCTTGAAATTTATTCAGCAGGTGGCATCTTTCACTGCAACCCACCATCACCCACCTCAACCCTGCGTTCACCACCACTTGCAAACCCCACCCCACCACCACAACCAACAACAAAGAAAACATTCAGAGATGTCAATGGTGGAGCGGCTTTGAGGAGTATCTACAAGTCAGAAGTCAGGAGTGTGATGAAATACTCCCAACTTGCCTGAGTACAGCCCCAATAACACTCAAGATGCTCAACATCGCCCATGACCAAACAGCCCACTTGATTGGCCCCCTATCTCACACATTCAACATTCACTCCCTTCACCACCATTGCACAGGAGCAGCAGTGTGTACCATTTACTGCAACAACTTACCAAGGCTCTTTCAACAGCATCTTCCAATCCTGATAGTATCTCAAAGGACAAGGGCAGAGGTTATATGGGAACACACTCACCATCAATTTCCCCTCCAAGCCGCTCACCATCCTGACTTGGAAATATATCATCGTTCCTTCAGTGTCTCTGAATCAAAATCCTCCCAAAAGACATTGCGGATTGGCAAATGGACTGCAGTGGTTTCAGAAAGCAGCTCACTACCACCATCTCAAGAGCAACCAGAGACAGGCAATAAATGTTAGCCCAGCTATTAGAGCCCACATCACATGGAAGAACAAAAATAAACTCCAATGTATTGGAAAATGTGACAAATAAAGGTCTAGAAAAAAAAAACCCAAAATCTTTCCCTTGGAGGATGAATTATGCCAATAACTTCTTGTAAACTCAGGGAATGATGCTTGATTGAACGGTGCTTGTAGCTTTTTTCTTGAGTTTCCCCAGCTCTTCTGTCAAAATTACCACAAACAAGTGGGAGAGCCTCCTGTTGAATCACATCTCTTTCAGGCTTTCCCTTCCAGCATGTTTGAGGGAATAAATCACGATTCCCATGTCCAACTGCATGTT